CAAAATCTCACAAAGGATCGTATGTTCATGAATTAAAAGCATCAATCAATCATTTCAAATTCACAGCAATCAATTCTCAAATTCCATCACTTAGCACATTATGCCAGAATTATATATCAAATATGTACAAGAAACTCATCAAGGTGGATCAAAATCAATCAACTACAACTACTCGAATTTTAAGAAAGCAATAAACGTGCTAAAACAATAAAACCTAGCATGCAACTAAATGACATGCAAGATAATGCAAGATATTGTGTTATTTTCTCTCTAAATATTTCAAATTAGAATACCACATCTCCTCCCAAACTTGAATGAAATTATATGAAGCACAAAAGGAAGAATAAAATTTCAATAAAAGCAAAATAGAGAAATCAAATCTTAGCTTATTCGTCTTTTGACTATCAAATTCAATTGCGTAGAAGGGGACGAAGGGATTAGGATTATTTACAAAACATTATCAAATAAGTGACAATCGTTGGTATAAACCTCGAAGCATATTCTTTGTCATGTAAATATCTCTAAGTAATGTTCTGCAAGAAAGAAAAACAAAATACAAAACAAATAAAAATATAACTCACTAAAAACATAAAAAAATAAAGCGTAAACATTGTGTTGCCTTACAACAAGCGCTAAGTTTAACATCTTCAGCCAGACGCCTGAAAAATACGATCACGGCTCCTCAACTTCTCATTTTGGTATGGATGAAAATACTGCTTAATTCATTGTCCGTTGACTACAAAGGTCTCTCCATCTCGTACAACCAATTCCTCTTTCTCCTCTATCACTATTGTCATTCCTCCATTTTTTGGCACCACTTGCACCAGACTCATCCACTCATTATAAGAAATAGCAAATATAATCTCGGCATCTAACCATTTAAGTACTTCTAACCTCACAACTTCTTGCATAACAGTGTTCAAGCGTCGTTGGTTTTGCACAGATAGTCTATAATCTTCCTCTAATCTTATTTTATGCATGCAAAGTGATGGGTTAATACCTTTAAAATCAGACATATACCAACCTAAAGTTGACTTATACGTACGCAACACCCTCAACAATTTATCTAATTGGTCAGAAGTTAGACATGATGATATAATTACCAGATACGTGCAATTATCACCCAAATATGCATATGTCAGATGATCTGGCAATGGTTTGAGCTCCGAAATTGACGCGTCGGGCTTTGAAGTACTTGATTCAGGTGAAATAGTAGTGGAAAGTACACCTGACACGACCTCCAACACGGGCCGTGCTTGAGGGTTCGGGTCGTGTCGTGTTTCAACCTCTGAAACCCGTAGCTGGGCACCTGACACGTATCGTGTCGCATCTCTGGGTGTTTGAGGGCACTTCAAGGTCGGCCCATCTCATAGTAGCTGCTGCACTAAATGACTGGACCTAGTATGAGGAGGTTCACCGGCAATCATGCTCTGAGAGAAGAAGACAATAATGAAGATGGTCTAGGGTCGATGATCAGTGGAAGTCTTGTTATTGTTTTTTCTTCTTCTCTTTATTTATGTTGTATTGTTTATGGGGGCTTAGGGCTCAGTTGCAGTTATAACTGCCTAAGTTTCCCACGCTTTGTCTTTGTTAATTGTAGGCCACCTGCTAGTGGTTCTCTCTTATTTCAGCTTCGGACTTGGTTCGCTCTTTATTCAAACTTTGGTTTGCNGTTGCGGTTGGGAGTCTCTTTTCTGCCTCTCCTAGAGCCCTACGAGTGAAGTGATTGGCGGTGGTTTTCGCCTCCTGACCTTCCCCCCGGCTCTGGAGGGGTCGCTGGTGGCCTTCTTTAGCCCAAGTCACGGGAGTGCCGATTTGACGAAGGTCCGATCTTGCGCTCCCTGTTCAACACCTTGGAGGTTCCTGCTCGGCCTCGCCCAACCATGGAGGTCTATTTCCCGCCGGCCGCCGATCTATCGGGCCGGGCTGCTTGGCTATGGGCTGTCGGGGGTGGTGCCTCCTCGGATCCTTGCCTCGGGCCCTCAGGTGTGTTCTTCGCAATTTCTCTTTCCTCCCCCGGCGTTGAAGTTCTTCGGAGTCGAGATTTTGACCAAAAATCCTTCTAGACGGTTGAGTAGCCGCAGTTTTCAGGTTTGATGTCTAGTTTTGCTGCTCGATTGGCGTTCTATGGCTTGATAGTCTGTTTAGGCGGTCATCGGGTTCGGCTGCTAGGTTTATGAGAGGTATTATTCTATGTTGTTTATTAAGTGTGAGTTGTTATTATCTTTTCTTATTTTTTTTTCCCGTTAAGTCCAATTGTGTCTGGCATCCAGTCCCGGTTTTGAAGTTCTAGTCTTCTTTACGGAGTTGGGTTTTGTGTGTGCAGTTGTCTCATTGATGGAGTTTGTACCCCTTTGACTCATGTGTTCCAAGGGGATAGGTCCAAACTTTCTGGTTCCTTGTGTCAGTTGACACTCTATTTGTACTATTTTTTTAGCTTTTTATTTATTATTATAATTATCGTTTGAAAAAAAAAAACATAAAAAAGACAAGGAAAATAAAAAAAGTGGAGAAGAGAATATAAATTCTCAATTGTTGAACAAAAAATCCAACAATAGTTCACCAATCTTCAAACAAAGCTTGCTAGGCCTCCCTAATCAACAGTGTAGGTAAAAACATGGCTAATATGACGCTGGAATTTAATTTATTATTCTTATAAAGCTAATTAAACAAACAATTAATAGTGACCGTTGTTAGCTTCACGATACACCATCTTGTATTGTTTAGCTTAATAGGCCTTTTAAGTAGCCGCATGTTTCCTTATTTATTTGCCTTGGTGATAGATGAGGCCACAAGGGACATACAAGATGATATCCCTTGGTGTATGCTCTTTGCTGATGATGTGGTGCTAGTTGACGAGAGTAGGGCAGGGGTAAATAGGAAGTTAGAGCTGTGGAAGGACACGTTAGAGTCGAAAGACTTCAGACTTAGTAGGACGAAGACTGAGTACATGACGTGCGCTTTCAGCATGGCTACACATGATGATGGTGACGTTAGCCTTGACGGGCAAGTGATGGCCAAAAAGGAGACTTTCTGGTATTTAGGATCGATGCTACAAAAGGATGGCGGCATTGATGTTGATGTTAGGCATAGAATTGCAACCGGTTGGTTGAAATGGCGTCAAGCTTCGGGCGTTCTCTATGATAAGAGGGTGCCACTAAGGCTAAAAGGTAAGTTATATAGGACGGCGATTCGCCCGGCGATGCTATACGGTGCTGAATGTTGGCCTACAAAAAGGCAACATGTCCAACAACTAAGTGTAGCAGAGATGCGTATGTTGCGTTTGTTCTGCGGGCACACAAGAAGGGATAGAATCCGGAATGAGGATACTCGAGATAAGGTCGGGGTGGCTCCAATTGAGGAGAAACTGGTTCAACACCGGCTGATGTGGTTCGGACATGTCCAACGGAGGCCTCCTGATGCACCGGTGCGTAGGGGAGTTCTACAGCGGGTCGATGATGTAAAGAGAGGTAGAGGTCGGCCTAAACTCACTTGGGAAGAGTCAGTTAAGAGAGATCTTAAAGATTGGAATATCCCCAAAGATTTAACAGTGGATAGGAGCGCGTGGAGGCTAGCAATCAACGTGCCAGAACCGTGACTTTTGCTCCTTTCTTTTTTGCTTCAATCTCTTCCTTTTGTTTTTTAGCCCTTTTTGAGTTTCTCTTACCATTGATTCTCTTGGGTTTCATTTCTAACCTACTCCTACTTGCTTGGGACTAAAAGACTATGTTGTAGTTGTATTTTTTTCTAGAAACATGACACACTCATATATGTACACCAATTCTACCCTAATATTAGTGATGATGCTATCATCTATGACGTTTTCTTTTTGTTTCACTTTCTTTCACCCTACAACAGTGCTAGTTTTGAAAATTTTGGTCTCTTTTATCATTACTTTCGAATAATATGTACTCCAGCACCATGAGAATGAGACAACCGAGGTATCAGGTCACTCTTATAGTTGAACTTTAAATTGGGATAGAAAAATGGAACACTTTTCCACAATGTATTCCACGGTCAGAATAGCTAGCTACAAGCCTATAATCATATCCATTAATTAGTGTCAAAGAAAAGAAAAAATCATACAATGGAATAACTGTAGATTGTGCAAATAAAAAGAAAATAAACAACTGCGCATTATAAACGGAATATTATCAAGCCACCGTGAACAGCTAGCAATCCACAGAAGATCATAAACGAGTAAAAAGTTGCAACGAAGAACTGGAAAGCCGGAATCATGGTTCAATTAAGAACTACCATCAGCAACAATTGAGATAAATGTATAGTAGAAAAGTCTATGCCGCACAAAAATTGCTACATTCCGACAATGGCATTCAACTTGTTGTCCAAGAGCTCGAAAATGGTAGTGAAAACCGAGTTAATAATGTGAACACACAACTACTTGCATCGAGCAAATAATAAGATTCACACACTTGAAGCTTATTCAAAAAGTCCTGCGTTCAACCAGTCCCTACAAACACATTTCAGGCTTCAGCAAGGAGAATCGGAAGGGACTAAAAAATCTATTTAAATCATTGCTAAAGCAGAAAAAATTATTATGACTCACTTGCTGATGTCATCCAGGTGGTCATCAAAATCAATAATGTCCTTCCATTTCCCAGATGAGATGTAATCCAAAAGCACAGTATTTGCTGAAGGCTGTGTGAGAGTGAGCTGGTTGCTACCCTTTGATCCAACTAGCTTCCAGCTAGATCCATCTTTCGTGTAAAGCTAAGCAAAGTATGCACACATAGACAAGTTTCTCAACAATATACACAATTTGACAAATTAAGGGTCTCCATCATTCTGGAGAGAGAGAGAGAGAGAGGGAGGGAGGGAGAGAGAGAGAGAGAGAGAGAGAGAGAGAGAGAGAGAGAATTTTCAATATAGACAAAAGTCCAAAAATACATGCATATAATATAAGACACAGGAACTATGATTTATCTACCTACACGACTATCGTACGGTTGCCCAATGTAGCATCTACATTTGCAACCATGTTCTGTATATATTTACTGGAGCGTGTCTGTTGTGCTAGAGCGAGTATGCATGACAAATATACGAAGATCACATAAGCACATGTTAACCAGTTCTCACAATAATAGCAAGCTCATAATCCCATGAAAGAAGTCAACTATACACTCTAACGTGTTAAAGGTAATTATAATGCCAATTAACAAGACAAACACAGAAAAATAAAGTATTTTGCTCACAAGGTTTAAGTACCATTTGGATCACAGTAAATAGTACACAACAAACTTTGTCGTGCGGTCAACTTAAAGATATCTCCTCAAAACTTCACGTTAGTCAACAATACATTTAGGTGTTAATAGATGATTAATACTAGTCTGATGATAATTTTACCTTTCTACTAATCACAACATTAACTAGAAGGGATAACAAATACAGTCAATAGTTGGGAAATATTAAAGGAATTCTTTTCCTTTCATTTTTAGCAACAAAGAAGAACTACACAGATACATAGTTGAAACAGCTCAATTTAAAATCTCAGCAACAAATTACCTGAACCACTGGACTTCGATCTTTTCCTTTGGGTAAATCCTCGAGCTTACTGTTATCCAACTGAAAGAAAAAATCACAAACCTTAAATAATCAATCATTTCGGCACAAAGCAAATGTCAAGCTGCTAATAAAATTTCAAACGAGTAATTCAATGTCAAATTCAGGGAAAACGCACCAAAAGCAGCGCAGCCTGATGAAAATACCGGGTTATGTGATCGCCAATATTCTTGGCAACACTAGGAAGCTCGTAATCATCGTACCTCTCGTTGGCATGAAAATAACCAACAATACTCAGTCCCTTTTCTCCATAGTACTCCTCTATCTACGATGTCTCAAATTTCAATTTCAGAATCTTGACCTAAAACCAAACAATATGAACAGTGAAATAGCGCTCAGTACATAGGGGAATACCATAATCAGAGCGATCTCCAGGGGAGAAAGGAGGCCGATCTGGGAGTGGAAGAGAGGGACGGAATCGGCGATCTCAACGGTGGATCCATCGGGCGACGTACGGCCGAGTAGGACGCCGTTGACGGCGGAGGTGCGGTGCTTGAGGGCATGTAGGACGAGCTTCAGGTAGGCGGTCTGCTGGATCTCGTACCGCGACTCGCCGCTCATGGCTCACGGAGTCCGAGGTAACTGGAAATCGGAGCACTTTGTCTAGGAAGACGGGGTACAGTGTGCTAATCTTTCGAATTCGATAGGTCTGCGAGCTTCGAACCACTCTTAGACCGGTTATACATTAATTTTTGACTGGCGCATTTGTTATTACTTTTAGGCCTTCCTCTTTTGTGTTAGTTATTGGGCTCATAATCTTTTCAAGCCGCGAGCCCAATGCGAAAGATGATGGATCGCAAGTCGTTAGACGTTTTGTGCCGATCCAACGTGACCAAACAACTAGAAAATCAGTTGTCTAACCAGTCTCATCATAAAAAAATAGTAGTACAAACACGTGTCTTCGTGCATGCTGCTTTTCACTGACATGTGTTTGACATTTACACTCTTATTTACCATACAACTAAACATGTCCACGGGCCCGCGAACCAACTCGTGAACCGGTCCCGGCCCTGAACCGGCCTCCTAAGGGTCGGTTCGTTGAACCGGACCCGTAGGGTCGCGGTTTGGTTAAGGATCATTAATGTTTTTTTTTTGTCCCGGCGGGCCGGACCGGGTCGACAGGTTAAAAGACGGGCGGCAGTGTATTTTTCAGCGGGTCGCACCGGCCCGGAACCGACCAAAAACCGGCGGGTCCGTGACCCGGCGGTTCAAGGCCGGTCCAAACCCACAGCCCTTAGAAAATGCGGGCCGGTCAAGGACCATGAAGTTGCGACCCGTGGACCCGGCGGGTCGGGCCGAGCTATGACCCGGCCCGTGGACTAGCCACCCCTACATACAACAATTAATACATTGTCAGTTTAGTCGTGTATAAATATCTTGTATTGAACCACACATTCAATTATATCGTGTGTAAATATCGTGTATCGAACCACACATTCAATTATATGTGAACAAAACACACTCATATATATAATTAAGTTTACATTATTGATCTCCTTTTCTACGGCGATCTCTCATTACATTCAATTTACGCACTTTTATATGTATAAACTAGTTTGGTAACTAATCATTTTCAACAATTGGCGCTAGAAGGAGGGTCCATCAAGAGTTTTGGTGAATCTTCCAACGTTCATTTCCACACACAAGTTTACTTTAATCACATAACCATGACTTCATCCAACAACAACAATAACAGCCGAAACAACCAGGACAATAACTCACATCCTCATAACGATATTAGCAAGATCTTCCACAACCCTACCTTTGTTAAGGGCATCACCGAGCTATTTGCTCAAATACTTTACAATATGCCCCACAACAATCCCCCAAAAATGCTCCTCCCAAAAATGCACCTCAACCATCTGTCTCAATATCCCCCGGAGGCAAATTCCCACGATCTCATGTGGTCAAAAAATAAAGATAAACAAAAGGTAGATCGCCCTGTGAGGACCCACGAGACATGGGCGAAAGCCAAGTCCGCTTAGGGGCCGAAATGAGTTTGAACGTCCGTTCGGTGCTCAATCAATTGGGCAATAACCCAAAACATGGCAATCTATGCCACCACCTCACCAAAAGAGCCCTCCGAAAGAAGATGTAAGAGCTCATCGCCCTGAAGTAGTGAATTGTCGAGCTCGAGGTCCAAAAAACTTTGGAGACGACAAGTCGACCAAACTCTGATCCTTTATCATCACCCGCTGGTGAGTCTTTATACTTGACCTCCCTTCTTCCCCTTACGACGCCGTACCTTTTCTCTCACTTTGGGGCCCAAACCCCATCGGTAGTATCATTCCTTGCCCCCAGGTCGATCCGCAATTGGAAGAAGCTTCGTTCGACATTTCGTATGAATTGTTTGAGATCGCAGGTGTGCATGATCACGAAGAAATCGATCATCAATATTGTCCAAGGGACTGATGAGAGCCTGAAGGACTATATTATCCAGTTCAACATAAAAAATATGGAACCATGACACCACGAGACCCTATTGGTCTTGGCCTATGCGGGGTTCCACCCCAATTCAATGTTCCAGTGGTCGTTTTTCCAGAACAATCCAGCCATCTACCAAGATTTTCTGGCACATGCTCAGTGCACATCGTAGAGGAGTCGATGTCTCCGCCCGTTTTTTGAGTGCCCAAAACTCTCCCCAAATTCCAATGATCCTCAGTCCAACCAGGCTATGGAGAATCGCAAATCCAGGTTGGCCTGCATAAAGGCTGCCCGAGAACGACAAGAAGAGGCGACTATGAATTACTTAGAGTATAGTCTATGGGGGAAGCCGCCATATATGAGGAGATCAAGAGTACAAGGATCCTACCTTGTCCGCGGTCGATTGTTCGAGATGAGGCCACTCTTGAGAAGTTGAAGTATAGTGCCTACCACAAAAGTCATGGACACAATACTGATGATTGTTGAAACCTAACTCAGACTCGTTGAAGGAGATCGACCATCCACAGGAGGACCGCTTCACCTGTCCTCAAAATGACAGAAAAATAAAGCACAACAAGAATCTCCCCTCAGATGAAGATACACCAACCGCAGCCAAATGCTCTCAGAATTTGTTGAGAGAAATCTTGACCTTCAATTGGGATGAAGGTACCTCTTTCTGGTACCAACCTCGAGACAATCGTACCAACACGTCTTACGGCAGACCTCAATGGACGAGGTCGACACATCTCGCATCTTGACCTTCTCCCGTATAAAGTTGGGTACCTATGGGCTAGAAAACTCATCCCAGTCGATATGATTCTATGGATCCAAAACGAAAATAACAACAAAAATGGGACTAACATCAATCATTGTCCAAATTTAATTTCGAACAACCTTCCTTTGAGAGGCGACCCAATGTTGGTCTTTACGATCGTACTCGACAAAAACACTATAAACAAAATGAGGTCGCGATTTATTTGACACTCGGCTAAAAGTACTACAAATAATTTTACAAAACAACGTCCGACAACTAAGAAAATAGACTCAAAAGGCTATCCAACCATATAATTATTTTATCCACCAAATGTCTGATGGATCGCAAAACGTACCACCAAAGTCGGGTGATTGCCGAATGAAGCTATTTTGGAGCTTCAACAAAGTCACACGAGTCGTGTGAGTGGCCACATAACTCGTGTGAGTCTGGGAGCTATGTTCAGTATGGCTTCATGTTTGGATCATACGAGTCGTGTGGCACTTGTCCCATATTCACACGACTCGTGTGACTTATCTGGTTTGACGCGTTTTTCCTTTTTTTTCTTCGACGAGTTTTTCAACATATTTTGACGAGATTCGACTCCAACTATATAAAGAACTTTTGAGCACTGTGTAGGTGATTTTTTTTTTATTTTTTTTTTCAGTTCTTCAGAGACTTTTGGAGACTATGAACACACACAAGACGCACGAGAAAGCCAGGAAGAAGAGATCGACGAAGTCAAATAAGTTTTTTCTTTTCTATTTTTTTTCCTGATTTTGGAAGCATGTTTTTAGGCTAAGATTATTTTAGATTCTAAGATTTGTTGGTACTCGGTTTGATTTATGATATAGTTTTTAGAGATGTTAAACGGGCTAGCCCTAGCGGGCTTCGAGCTAAACGGTCCGGGCTTCGGGCTAAACAGGCTATACGAGCTATAATAATAATAATAATAATAATAATAATAAAAAAAAAAATCAGAACACCTAGTTAACGGTTTTTTTCAACGGCTATTTCGTATTTACTACTATATATATACAACTACACTTCATATATGAACATACATTACAAACTCTTAAATAATATATTGTTTCTCAATAGAAAAAAAAAATGTTCGAACTATTACTTATAACTACCATTTGACTAGTTAGTTGGTACGCTTCGGGAATTTTCACAATAGCATATTGCTGAATTTATATTTTTTTCACTATATTCTATATGTTAGGTCTTTGTCTCATTTGTTTTTTATTTGTCGTTCTGATGGACTTAAATATTTTGCTGTGAAATAGAATAAAAATTGCTAATAATTACCTATCAAAATAATAAAAACACATTATAACTCAAAATTATATGTGAAGTAGAATAACAAAATTGTAATATACAAGGAATCATGAGACATATTACTTACCTTTCTAAAAACATATACACCACCCAACCCAAGTTAAACGGGCTGGCCCTAACGGTTTTCGGGCTAGCCCTAACGGGCTTCGGGCTAAACGATCCGGGCCTAAAAAGCCCGAATTTAAACGGGCTGCCAATAAAAGGCCCTAACCCTGTTTTTCCGGGCTAAGGGCCAAAGACCATTTAACATCTCTGATAGTTTTTATTCGATTCATTCCGGTTTATCTTTCATTTATGAATTTCTTGTGCTAATTTTTATTATATGAGTAGATGACCACTTTGAATACATATTTGTGGTAGATTCATTCTGGTTTATCTTCCGATTTATCTTCGCATATCTGTCGCATAGCTTATCGCATAATATTTTTGCACTTTATCAATTATCTTCTCTTGTTTGTCGCATAGTTTATCGCATAAAATATTCCGTACTTTATCAGTTATCTTCACTTGTCTTTCGCATATCTCATCGCACACTTTATCTCGTCTGTCTGTCGCGTAACTTTTCCTATAAATATTTCAAACTTTTTCAGTTATCTTCGTCTGTCTGTCACATAACTTTTCGGATAAATATTTTGCATTTTATCAATTATCTTCGCCTGTTTGTCACATATCTTATCGCATAAATACTTCGCACTTTATAAACTATATTCACTTGTCGCATAATATTTTCGCACTTTATCAATTATCTTCGCCAGTTTGTTGCATAGTTTATCGCATAAGTATTTTGCACTTTATCAATTATCTTCGTTTATATGTAGCATAACTTTTCGTATAAATATTTCACACTTCATAAATTATTTTCGCCTGTCTGTCCCATAAGTTTTTCGCACTTTAAAAATTATCTTCGTCTGTCTGTCACGTAACTTATCGCATAATATTTTGCACTTTTTAAATTATCTTCGCTTATCTGTCACATAGTTTATAGCATAATATTTTCTCCTTTATCAATTATCTTCGCCTGTTTGGTGCATAGTTTATCTATAACTATTTCGCACTTTATCAATTATTTGCGTTTGTCTGTCGCATATAGGCCTGTAAACCAGTTGAGCCGAGCTCGAGCTTTGGGTACTCTACCTCAAGCTCTAGCCCTTAAATGAGACGAGCTTGTCTCGTTAAATAAAAGAGCCAAAATTGAGCTTCAGCTGGACTCGTTAAGTTTGAGTTGATCTCGAGGTTTAACGAGTCGAACTATAGAAAATTATACAAAAATTCTCTTTGCGAGCCTTATTGAGCCAAGCCGAACTAGACTTGTTAACCAAACGAGCTTTGTATGAGCTCGAGCTCGGCTCGTTAAATGATCGAGCTCGAGCCGAGCTGAGGTAGACTCGTTTAATTTTAACAACACTAGTCGCATAACTTTTCGCATAAACATTTCGCATTTAATCGATTATCTTCGCCTATATGTCGCGTAGTTTATTGCATAATTTGTTTCGTATTTTATGACGAAAAATGTGTTAAACATTAGCCTTCCGTTTTTATTTATTTATCTATTATTATTATTATTATTATTATTATTATTATTATTATTATTATTATTTTGTCTTTTATGTAATACTGTAGTGTATCTTCGCCACGACATGAGATACAACTTAGAGCATCTGCATCGCGGCCGCTATTGAGGTGTTTAAACGGGCACCTCCCGTTTAACATGGATGCAAGGCATCCATTATTTGGGGGGTCCCATGCTCCCGTTCAAGCTNTTTAAATTTCTCAAGTTCTAATCCTAGCATTTCAAATGAAATATTTAGTGTATTTTCAGCATTTAAAATTAAGTATCATAATTAAAAAATACATTTATTTTTATTAAGAATAAAATATAAAAATAATATTGAATGAGTGGGTAATGAGTCCCATATATTTGAATTTAAATGAATGATTGAATGTGGGTGTGTGTTTAAATGGAGAGATGTTTAGTTGAAAGATGATGTGGAAATGATGTGGATGAGAGATAATGTAAATTGTGATTGAATGAATGTTAAGGGATGCGGATGCCCTTAGAGCACCCACAATGCTTTGGGTCTCTTAACAAAAAATCACATGCCACATGAGAAATAGACTTAGTATATAAAAAAATGTTTTTCAATGCAATTAAAAGTGGACATGGTCTAGTTTATGTGGCAATAAAAAAAAGAGACCAAGTCCACACTTGCGTCTATTTTGGACCCAAATACAAACTCAAACACTCATCATTTATTCTTAATTTAATTTTTCTTTTAATAAAAAAAACATATTAGATCATTTTTATTGGTTGGCATGTATGCTAGACCTAGTACGTTTATTTTTACATTACAAAGTTTTTGAGTTATTTTACTTGAGTTTATCCATGTCATTTAAGATCTAAGTCCAATTATATGTCACATATACAAAAAGAGACTCAAAGCATTGTGAGTGCTCTTATAGTCCAATGGGTTTGTTAGAAGTTGGGCCGTTAGAAGGACAGAACTGTTCAAAAATTAAAGACAAGCCCAACCAAATTAAACTCAAATCCAACCCGCTAATATCCCCAATCGAAAAAGATCATCAGTAATTACTATCATCGTAATATTCTGTCTAGCATCATTATATTGGTCATACAAATTCGGCAGAAAATTCAGTCCACCAGATTACTCATTATTCATTCACTGCATTAAAAAGGAAACGCAAAAGGTCCTGCGATCGTCATGTACAGATTCGTGAACCGGAGCTGGACCGTCGATTCCGTCATCCTAGTAATACCGGTCAAACTGAAGGCGCTGCAATCCAAAAACTAAAAAAGGAAAAGCAAAATCGGATGGTTAAATCGACCGATTGTGATTTTGAGGGGGATAATTCAGGCTGGACCTGGGAAGAAGACAAGCGATTTGAAGGAGCACTCGTGGAGTTTCCCGGAGATTGCGCCCATCGTTGGGAGAAGATATCGGCGAGGCTCGGGACGAAATCGGCGGCTGAGGTTGAGCGGCACTATGATATTCTGTTGGATGACTTGGCGGCAATCGAGGCGGGGTTGATCGAGCTTCCGGAATACTCGCCGACCGAGGACGCGGTTCGGCCGTCGGAGCCCCTGAAAAACCCTAATTCTGAGAAAGGGGCGCCTCGAAAGGCGGCCAAGCCGTGGACGGAAGATGAACACAGGTAATAATTAATTAATTGTTGCTAACAAAACATTCTGCAAATGATTGTTATTCTCTACGGACTACGGGAGCTATCACATATTTATCTTGGCATATTAATTTTGCACTCATTGAAATGGGAATTTACCCCTTTGGGATGTTTTTTTCATTAAAACTAAAAATAAGACCATGTATGTTTGCATTTTTATTTTTAATTTCTTGATAAACAACGGTGAATAGTTGATTGGGCATACGGATAATTGAAAATGCATATTTCAATTTCATAGTAAATTGTATTAGCGTTCTGTCAATGTAACAATTTGTATATCTGCTTTGAAAACCTATGTTCCTATTTTATTTTATGTGTTTCTTTCTATTCAAAACTAGTATGGAAAAATAATATTAAGATAATATTATCAATTAAATTTATAAATAATATGAATTATGGTGTAGCCTAAATTATTAAAAGTTATCACACACTATCATTTTGTTCAAATAAATATTAATAAAATAAAATATGAATCGTATATTATTGAACATCTCATTAAAAATATTTTTGATTGGATTATTTGAGCTTCAGTAATTATTGTAACAAAATATTTTTAATATTAAAATTCTTATTTAGTTTCACTCAATTTGGTCCTATCAAATTGATCTATGACATGGTACAACCCGAGTTGTATCGTTTTTTTTATTCTAATATAAATGAGTTGAAATAATAAAAATCAACTCGGTTGACCCAAAAAAAAAATATTTTAATTTATACAGTAAAATTCATGACATAAGAGAAAATATTAAGATTCTAACTATAGGATTAAAGATAAATTAACTATTTATACTTTTACATATATAAATAAAACAATAATATAATAATTTTAAAAATCAAAATTCATTAATATATATTATGAAATTGACCCATTGATACAAATGCATTTTTAGAAATGAAAAAAATATATAGACATTACCAAAATATAAAAACAAAAATGAAAAAAATTAGGGCTAATTTCCATTTTTAGAAACCAACAAATTTTTTTGTGCAATGCAGATTATTTCTAAGTGGGCTTGAACAATACGGGAAAGGAGACTGGAAAAGCATTTCGAGACACGTAGTCCAGAGTAGAAGTCCTGCTCAGGTAGCGAGTCACGCTCAAAAGTACTTCAAGCGCCAGGAAAAGACGGCGCACAACAAGAAAAGACGAAGCATTTTTGATAATTCAACTGCTCAAACCCATAATTCTGCCTCCTGATTTCTATGGTAATTTCATAGCAATGACTTTTAGAACATTATTCACTTATTCAGTAAAATAGGCATATTGTAGTAGATGTTACCCTGATATCTTTTGTTAAAAGAATTCACATGAATGTTCTGTTATTTCTTAAATCCAAATTTGTCTTGACGTTTACTATCGAAATCTGTACAAAGACAAAGACCCGAGTTCCGTGTGAATCTGAATCACCGTCTCATATACCATTAAACGGTTCATCTATACAAAACGCGAGCCAGAACAGTTATGAAGCACTGAAGCTCAAACCAGAAAGCCCGACAATGTAAGACTCAAACAGTCACCGTATTATCCTCAACGACTGGCTTCTCTTCGTATTCAATGCTCTTGGGTTTGGCTGAAGGTAAATTCTGGCTTGGAAGGAGATTAGTTGTCATATCAACTGAGCCCTTGAGATTAAGAGACGTGTAAACCGACATCCCACAAAGTGCTAAAATAGCACCAACAATGCTTACAGGACCCGGGTCAGAACCGAAAAGTATATAACCTCCAAGTAGGATGATGCATGTCTTGAATTGCCCAAGAACAACATGAGATGTTGCAGATGTAGCACTGGACAAGTAGAACCAAGTGTTTTACTTTTAAGGAGCTCTAATTTTTGAAAAAAAATAAAAAAATAAATAGAACTGTGAAAAAGATAAATCCTAATGGTGATTTCTGTTATTTTCCATGAAACTCTGTCAAAATAGTCATTCTTCTATGACTATACATTTATTTATATAATCATCTTTTTTCTAAAACATTTGTTTTCACCATTTTGGGAGAAAATTATCTCCCCCTTTTAAACTAAGTGGATAAAAATGTTGGTTTTACTTTTACATAAATGGCTAAAAATCAAGTGTAGAATCTTCCCATACCCGAGTGCCAAGGCCCCAGACCATTGCAAGAGAAAGCCAAGCAAGGCTGATATTAGGACAGCAGTTGTATTTGTCATGTTCCACTTGAACAACAACACTCCTGGAGGGTCCAACCATGGCATAAGAGCTACCAGGAAGAATATAGTAACTGGGGTCGTTTTCCACATCAACCTGCATTATAAGCTTCCTTTTCCTTAAATTTTAAATCTCTTAACAAATCTTTTGATCAGTTAAAAAAGGAAAACCTTCAAGGTTCAGAATCTAAATTACAAATATCGAATTGCAAACATAGATAATATCTATATTGTTATTAAGGAAGTACTTTAGCATTTGTTCATAATTTGGCTAAATCTTGGTGGTAATAATTATACAAGTAATTAGCCCGAAAATTTCACTCTACTTACGCGAGAGCAGTCCAATTGCCTTGTTGTTGGAGATTAGACCAGAGTATTTTGTTAATGGCACTCGGGATTATCCAAGCAACCGCAATAAAAGCACCAAACATGTTGAATTCCAGGTCAGTGACTGTAGCAACAGCCACACCGAAAGAGACAACGACTAGAGAAACAACCTACATTGGTATATAATGTAAGTACAACTCATCAAACTTACGTAGTTATTAAGACAATAGCGCCTGAATTAGCTAGCAAAATAAAGTAAATTGCAATCACCTTGCTGAATGATATTGTCTTCTTAAAAAGAATAAATTCTGCTGTAACAATCGTTGGCGTGACCGCAATTTTAGCCATTTGATAGAAACCAACACTGCACCAAGAGACGAACGAAGGCATAAAAAAAAAAAAAANAAAAAAAAAAAAAAATCAGATTAGAAACAAACAAAGAGATGGAGCTTTAAATTTTCTTATTTTTGGCAGAATTGGATTATGGACCTGTTGTGCTTAAGGCTAGTATTTGCAAGTCCAGAGGCAAAAGCCATGACAGCTCCCAAAGCAAACAATGATGAGAATGGTGTGGATTTAGAAGGAGGGGAGACAGGAAGCAAAGAGAGAGCCTTGAAAAAGGCCATCAAAAGCCAAGCGGTAGTGTAGTGGATTAGCGTGAGAAATATCGGGTAATTGAATCCAACTCTCCCCATCACCTGGAATATTACAGAGAGATGCAAGTTACTATTGAATTGCATTTAAGAAAAAAAGAAAAAAAAAAAAAAACTTTGAATCTTTTTTCTTATAAGAGTGACTTATTTGAAAATAGTTGAAAATCAACAGTTTTTGGGGTTTAAAAATGTTGGCTAAACTGCAAGTCAAATCAAAAGCAGAATCAGAAATAAGAGTTGACAGTTGAAAACCAAATTTTGATGGTGCATGTAAAAGTTAGTAATATGTAGATAAAAGAGAAAGAACACACCAATTTGTTGCCAAGAATTATACCAACAGAAACCATAAAATTGAATGACATGGCCACAACTGGTCCACAATGCCGCTGTTGTTGGCGTTTAGCTCCTTCCGATGTCCGAAGATCATTATAAAGAGTGCTTCTGATTTCTTCCAATGCACGACCTGTTGAGATTATAAATTTTCAGGGGATTTATTAGATCATATCATTACCCAAAAATTTAAGAAAATCAAATCATTAATTTTAATAAAATTAGGCAGACACTGCACAGGATTGAATCCAAAAATGTTGCAACTCGATCATTGACAAAATAACATAAATAAAAGGAAAAATATGCACTAGATAAGCATGCAGTTTCAAAAGAGTTACAGTCAAAATTCCACAAATCTAAATGGAAAAAACCAAAAATGCACAAATAGAACAAGAAATCGAAGGCAAAACCTGCTTCCCCTGCATCACTGTCTTTTCTTTTGATGAATCTTCTGGATTCTTGTCCCAACAGAGAATTGAGCAGGCCCATAAATGCATTTGCCAATTATTTATAACAAAGAAAAATTAAACCCAGATCATGGTACGTTCATGTGAAAATTAAAGCTGGAGAAAAATGTTTGAGGATTAAGATGGTAAAGGGCGGCGCAAAATTACAGAAATTGTGGTGAACATATTTTTCAACTAGCCTACATAAAAGGGTGAAGAGATGAGTCATTGTAGAAAACATGCATCTAATCTATAAGGGCTGTGGAAATTATAAGGAAATAGCAATTTTTTGGGCATGCTTGGAAAATCAAAATTAAACCTTTCGATACAACAGCATATCTGCTGGCCTTCTCAACCTGAGCTCTTAATTTTATTTTTCTCTTTTAATTTGTCCTCTTTTTAAGGATATTAATATTAACTGATATATTTTCTACATAATTTATCCTGAACCTCAAAAGACTTCGGTTTAATTTGTAAATCCCTTGAAATGAAGGGGTGTTATGGTAAGTGTATTGGGGATAATTATTTTCGATGTATTCTAGGAGAATACGAAGGTGATGATGCTCATTTTAGTGAAAAAGTGAATTTTGTTGGATTAAGGAAACTCAAATCCCACGGTCTTCAAGAATCTGTCAAAAAGCTATTGTGATCAAAGACGTACATCACGGATCACTACTACCAACTGTCAGGCCCACCTTAAAAGAGTAATTTTTATTTTTTTTTTCTTTTCCTTCAATTTTACTCAGCAGATTTTTGGTGTTGGCATAACAAAATGTTGGTGCTAATTTATTTGTTATGGAAAAAAGGAAATAAAATTAAGCAAATCCATAAAAAGAGGACAAACAAGCAGTTTTTCTGCTTTAAATGCGAGATCAATCCTTTTCAGCTCATAAAGGTTGTTTAATTTTTGAGTTCTAAGTAGGTGCAAGAATAACGTTACCCCACTGTTTTAGGTTTCATTGAAAATTAAAATACTTGAAAAAACAATATGAGCCAGAAACAAAATTTAATAGGGTTTCTTCTTCTTATTTTTTATTTTTAAATTATGAATAAGTTCTCTAATTAAACTTTAAGTTCAATCTCTTTCACTATGGGTTATATCATTAGATTTTGTCACTCATTTTGAGGAATCTATACTTATATAATAAGGTGTACCATTTACGAAATTTAGTAAGTTGAAAAGTCAATGCAATAAATGCATTACTATTTTGAGCAACATAATATAGTATCATATCTATACTTATATAAAAGGAGATTCTATTTACTACATTTACTATCCAGAAAAGTCAACAGCATTAAATGTCATTACTATTTTAGTATTATAATATTTCATTTATTTAATTGATTTATTTATTTGTTTTATTTTAAAAGGAGTAAGTATAATAAAAAGATTTTAATAAAAAAAAAATTAAATACCAAATAAAAATGTACACATTGACTTATTTGATTATATTTGGTATTAGATTTTAGTATATACATTAAATACTTACTAAAGTATTTATTTGTTTTATTTGTCAAAGTTAAGTATAGATTTGTTTATATTATCAAATCATAAAAAAATATTAAATCCATATTGTAAAAAAAAAATTATATAATTTTATAACAATTCTACTACACTATTTAACAATATTTCTTTTTTATTATATAATAAAATAATAATTAAATATTATATGGTGAACAACAATAAGTAAAACTGTTACTTTCTCTTATATCAAGGGATAAATTTATATGCTAAAATTAAATTTTTATTAGTATAAATGTTTTAGTGAGATAATATATTAATTATTTTACAAGCTAGCCCTAACATGCTCATATTTAATGTTTTAAAAGATGTAAAAAAAAACTTATAATAACTCTATTGTTTTTTAGACTTAAACGTTGATTAAAAGAGGTAAAAATTCCTAATTTTTTAGACTTAAACGTTGATTAACACCATAGATTGAGAGTCTATATTTAGTAAAATTTCTAATTGTAATAAAAAAATTAATTTTTGCTATATTTTAGAATATCTTTAAATTCATTATAAAAAAAAAAGAAAAAAAAAACTACAATGAAAAAAGCAAGTCAGCTATATATCGATTTGTTGTACTCCTCAAATCACATTCACAATTTGGCTACAAGGAAAGGAAACTCATTGATTAAAATATTATTTTGTCAGTAGTCTTAATGTACAAGAGACTTTAAGACTCCACTTGAATATTATAAAACTTTTATTGAACATTGTTCAATTTTCTTGCGTATTATAAACTTTTATTGAATATTGCATCTTATAATATAATATTCTCCAAATAAATATATCTCGTGTTTCGCACGGGTCACGTACTATATATATCTCGTACATTTTTCTTTATTCATATATATAATTGTAAGTCTGGATAAATAGCCTTAAAATTGTGCACCCCGTGCATCGCATGAGCTCTGTACTAGTTGAGTTTAATCTAAGATTTCATAGTTATCATTACGTCAAAATAATTAATGCGTCTTATTTAGTGAGTTCCAACTAACGAAATCAAAATTCAAAATAAAGGTCGTTTGGTTTGGTTCACGACTTCACTTCTAAATGACGTAACTTTGTAGGGCCAAAGCAAATTGCGAGATCACAACTACCTCTACCTACCTCACTCGGTAAAGCGCCGCACCAAATGGAAATACTTTGCAGACATATATTTGGAAAAAATTTATTTTTAGTTCATTATATTGGTCACATTTTAATAAAGATTTACTTTTTTTTAGCAGACATCAAATTTAATACATTAGTTTAAAAAATTCATCAGATAAGGTACACTATTAATAATTATTAGTGACAGGATAAATATCACGGGCTTGAAGCAGACTAATCACGGACCGAAAATGTGGTTTGTGCATATAACTTTGAACCGACAATTGACTAAGCAAACGAACTCCATTTTGTCTGAAATTTTGCCTATATGACTGTCTCGAAGTAAAGAATTAAAAGGTGGATCAAGTACTTGAAACTGGCATGAGACGACATCATAACTAAGCTAAAAATAGAACAACACGCATTATTTTTGACAAAAAATTTGTTAGACAAATGAAATCTAATTGAGCTAAAAATTTATGGTTACGAACGTCTTGATGAGATAAATTCAACGGTTAGTCACTAGACTAAAATGTACACCATAAGGCACCAAAATGGTCCCTAGATAGATAACAATGAATTTGAACCAAAATTATTTTGGATGACAAATTGAGCAGGAAAACGAACAATATTTGAGATCAAATTTCGTTAGTATTACCCGTTGGACGAGAAGAATTCGATGGTGGGTCAACCATCTAAATCGGATGCTATGTGGCATCATAATTAAACCGGATAGAAAATAACTCAAATTACTTTGGATGAAAAATTGAGTGGCCAAACTATAATTTGGCTAAAAGTTTAGGTATATGACCGTCTGACGAGAAGAATCCAACGGTAGGTCCCCCACTTGAAACGGACATCAAACGACATTCAAATTAGACCAGAAAGGAAACAATGAATTTTATTCTACCACTAATGATATGTGCACTTTATTTTATGAATTTTTCAAATTACTGTACAAAGATTGATGTCTGCCAACAAGGTGGATCTTTGCTAGAAAATGACCAATATAGTAGACTAAAAATTAAAGCATTCCACTATGCTGTGATATGGGAAATGCTCCCCTACCCACAGTGGGCACATGTTAGTATGTCCACCGCTTATGTGGCATGCATACATTGATGATAATTTTTTTTTAAAATATTACCATCACCAATGTGTGCATGCCACATAAGCGGTGGACATATTAACATGTGCCCACTGTGGGTAGGGGAGCATTTCCGGCTGTGATATATATATAAATTACTAATGCGTATTGAACGGAAAGTCGAAACAGTAATAAGATTAACTAGTATTGACGATGTGCACATGCACATATTACCAATAAATAAATAAATATTATATATAAAATCTATAATTATAAAAAGAGATTAAATATTAATTAAATATAGTATTTATTAAAAATGGAATGAATACAAATCTATAAAAAAAACATTTGAATCCTAAAATTTAAAATTTAAAAATCTGTTTCCTTTTGCTTTTAATCCGCAACAACACGTTTGATATATCTTTATGTTGTGATATTTTACATTATGGATTGATCTATATAAAGAATAAAGTTAGGTCAATTGGAAATGGACATGATAAAGATCACATTGAATGTAATTTCAACCCAACTCACCATATTTGATCTATGTCATCGAGTGTATTAGTATGGTGATTTTTGGTGTTTAACCACTATTCGTAATGTGGTTAAAGTCGCGATAGTTCCATAGCTAGTATATGAGATGGATCAGATTGTTTAAGGTAGTCTAAAGATGAGTAGCATAAAGTTGTGCAACTAAGGGGGTTTATGTTTATAAATTTTTTAAATCCGTACTCAATCCATATTTAAAATCTAACTCAATTAAACCCCACTATCTTCAATATTATTAATATAATTAAATAATCTCAAATAACCATTCTTACATATCACATCAATTTTAATTCATTATTCATACACTCACATAGTTTTAATTAACCACTTCACCTCATCTCTCTCCCACATTTACATCAAATGAATTTTAATTATTTATTAATATTATTTTAATATAGATCAAAATCATACTAACAACTAACTATACAAGCTTTTTCAAAATTATCCTTGGTTAACTAAAAAAAAACTCGTTTTGAGTAGATATATTTGTATTCATGCACGCCTTAAGGAATTAGTATAATTGCTGATGAAATAATATGTAGCTCAAGTGAGAGACTGTTGAAAAATATTTAATTTCTTATGTATAATCTAATTATGGGCGACATATTAATATAATTATATTAGCTATACATTTTAATTAATGGACTCATTAAGTGATCCATATTCCATGTGCTACACAATTCATATGAGTTGATTGAGTGGATACTTAATATTATGAGGGTTAGGCAATAGTGAGTGTTCTATCCCAATAGTATATAAGGTTATGGTGCCCAACAAATCAAGTACAATTGTCTCTTCTCCCACCAGAATTGTCCCATCAAGAGACGATAGCTGATGAAGACAACAATAAGTTGATCCAATCAAGGAATCAGACGATTTATATGAGGAAGACCACATTATCACTTGATCCAATCAATCGATCGAGTTCGTGTTCCGTAAAAGAAACTCAAAGACAGGTATTACTAACAATCTCCGTAGCTCAATGTTGATTTCTTTAGACTTAAAGCATGTTATAGGATAATTATTATTGAATTTATTATTTGACAATAGCCCCTAAAAAAATTGGGCACTTGTAATATCCAGGCAAGAGATATTGTGGTGATCTCTAGATAGTCCATATGGTTCAGATGAGCGTAATGATTTTGATAGCTTTATGAACAAATATGTTCTGTACAATTTTTATTTTTTTTTTTTATTTTTTTTTTTATTTTTTTTTTTTGGTTATGTAAGGCTACAAATCTCCAGTTCAAATATCCTGATTACTTTCCAGGCTAGTTCATACCTTTTTGCTCATTGTTCATTTTCAGATTGAAATAGACATTGAAGATTGTAATTGCTCTCGGTTGGTAGTAAAACCCTGGAGCTCTGCAATGAGGACCAGAAGCAAAACTCTATACGTAACGATATTTACCTCAAAATGTAATGTACAATTTCATTTGTACATTTGTTGTCTTATATATAAATTTTACTTCCAGGACAATTATGCAAAGCAGGATTCTATCTGTATAGATAAGGTCACCTAGATCTTTATAAAGTGCTCAAACTTCAGGTTAGAATCCTATGCCATCTTCCTTTAGAGATAATTAGAATAAGTATCCTTTTGACACAGATGCAAAACATATCCTATTTCCTTTCAAGATTAAAGATGCTTTTAACGAGACACTACATAAACCTTCCGAAACAGTAACAGCTTACAGAGTTATTTTGCCCTGAGTCGATAAAAACCCACGCTTATTTTACCAACACGAGATGAAGAGTACAAATACAAGTTAAACTAAACCAAACTCTATAACAGTACTGGACTGCATTTGCTCTAGAAATCTCATTGAAGCTTGATGAAGAGATTGTGAATCAACCAGGCAGACATTAACTTGTAACACTCTTGGGTCATGTGCATCCCGTCCCAGCTCAAGTAACTATCAGGATTCTGACAAGCTTGAACTCCAAATCCACACATCCCACAACAAACATTCTCAGTATCAATTCCTGTGTGTTCAAATAAAAAATTTAGATTGTAATGAACAATTAATTAAGTCAATTTATAGTCTTTAATGAAATGATTTTTGCATACCGTTTGTTCTGGAATATCGGAGCGCGAACATGTAAGCCTTGTAGAAATCTGCGTAGAGGATGGTGGCGTTTGGCTGTTCTTGTTCGTTCAGTCTCTGGATGCCTTGCTGCAGCTGTTGATTGTGGTAAGCTGCAAACTCATTCAGGTATTTGAGGCATTTATATCTGTCGTATGCTGTTTGATTGTCGGTGTGGAAAGCTGCTTTGTTTCCGGGGATACAACCGATTGGGAAATTCCCGGGGACCACTAATTTTTTAGCTCCAAAACTAATCGCTTTCTGCACATCATCATAATCATATGCATGTAAAATCAAATAATTTCATTATTTGATTACATCGAGTTGGTTTTCAAGATTATATATGATTCAGTTTACTTACCCTAACACCATCTAGAATGGCATCGACCACATCAGGCACCATCTCTCTCATCTCTTCCATACTTTTTCTCTGGGACATTGCGAAATTGTAATCATTTCCACCCACTTCTCCTACCATAAACAGCGCATTCCGTAGTTTATTGGCACAATCTGTTTGTTGGGAGGAAGAATTAAAAAAACATTCTATACTAAATTCAGTTTTAATATGTATGGTATTGACTGATAAAAGATGATTTAGGCTATGTTTGGTAAAATTAGTTGATAGCTGATAAGCTAGCTTATAGCTTATATGTAATTTTCGAGCTTATGACTATGTTTGGTAGACAAATAAGCGAGCTTATAGCTTATTTGGCTAGCTTATAAGTTTCCTGTATTCAAATAAGCATTGTTTGGTAGGACGAGCTTTTTCAAAAAGCTGAAAAAGCTCGAGCTTATTTGATAAGCTTCTTTAGGTAGCTTTTCAAATAAGCTAGTTGAATTTTTTATTTCAGCTAGCTTATCAGCTAATTTTACCAAACACTTTTATCATATAAGCTAGCTTTTCAGCTATAAGTCATAAGTTATAAGCTATAAGCTAAAAAATTACTGATAAGTTATCAGCTATCAGTTAGCTTATCAACTAATTTTACCAAACGTTCATAGCCTATATATATTATAGCTTATGACTTATAGCTGAAAAGTTAATTTATATGATAAAAGTATTTGATAAAATTAGCTGATAAGCTAACTGAAATAAAAAATTCAAATAGCTTATTTGAAAAGCTACCTAAAGTAGCTTATGAGATAAGTTCGAGCTTTTTAGAAAAAACTCGTCCTACCAAACGGGGCTTATTTAAATATAGAAAGCTTATAAACTAGCTTATTTATCTACCAGTAACAAATCGTTAGTAGAACGTACCTGAGTGACTGGAACAAATGGAGTTGAAATAAGAGGACATCCAACCCAACTGGACATCAAGAGAGTTTCCTCCGGCTTGAATATTTTTCCTGGCCAACGCATTTGGCGACAAAGCGGTGGCCCCAGCCACTGCAAAGTTGACTCCATGGCTGAAATCGGCTGTTGTATCGTGGTACGGTGGCAGCAAAGGAAGTCTTGCCGCCTTTGCTGTTTCATAAACATAATATGCATATACATGCATAAGTATGCNTCGTCAAAGTTCCTTCGGACAAAGAGTACTCCTCGATGGAGAATAAAATGATTTGCGAACAAGAATTACATGAAGCAAAAGTAAGTTGAAGAACCAAAAGAAGGTAGGGGAGAAGATTTTTTTTTAAAAAAAAAAATAAATAAAAATTACCTATATAGTCGATGATAAGAAAGCCATTTGAACAACGACCCGTGGGTCCCTTGGGAAAAGATTCACCATATGGTAGCTTTGCACAGGGAGAGTAGAGAATTGTATTTCCCGTGTCAGAAATCGAGTCTCCTAATTGGTAAATCTGACTAAACTTGAATTTAGGGTAAGGCTGACGGCCACTGGTCGCGAAGGGAACGCAAAAACACATGATAGTCATGATCATCAACTGCTTTGTGATGAGAGTAATGATAGTAGCCATTCTTAAAATGAAAAATAAGAAAAAAGAAAGAAAGAAAAAAAAGTTTGAAACAACTGTCAGAGGTACTTGTGAAGATCAAATAACCATTTGCGAAACTTATATAAAGCCAAAAGATATATGATGGTGCAAAAAGATATATGATGGTGCATGGGAATAAAGCGGCTAGACGTGCATTTGATTAGAGTTAGAAGTCAAATTGTCCTATTCATGCGCATGCAGCTAGTAATTATTGGGTTTATATTTTCTCGATTCACCACTTCTTTTATTGATCATACCATATCGGCCAGTGTCCTAAAAGTCTTGCCCGTGTCACTGAGAAACCAGAAACTTCTACCGTGATATAGCATCAATAATATTAGTCCCGACCCGCAATCTATGGTATAAAGACAAAACATATTAGTTTGAATATTTATGAAGTTTTATAAAATATTCTATGAGATATCTAAGTTGATTTGGAGTATTTAATTAATTCTGTATAAATAAAGGATACATGATCACTTTTTTTACTAACGCTTTAAATAAACTCTCAGATTATGATTAGTTTCGGACTTGAACGTCGGATTATCTACGTTGGGCCCTGCTCCTAAGAACATCTCCAATGCTCTAATGTTGTTATATGATAAATTTTGACAAATGTCAAAATATTAAATAGATTGTGAACCATGTAGGAAAAATGTTGAGTTTACAAATATTAAATTTTAAAATCATCTCCAATGCACAATGTAGTCTAATTACAATATAATCTACTTACCACATATTAAAATTTTTAATATAAATTAAGAAAATTAATTAAATAACTTAAAAATGGTAAGAATAATTATCTCTCTTATTTTCATTGGCTAGTTAGATTGTGGAGGAGAATGTAGATGAATCACATTCTTCTCTACATTGTAGACATTAATTATGTCTACATCACCACAATATTTATGATCACATTGTTCATTGGATGATTCAAAGTTGTGATATTACTAAATGTGTTGATGTGGAATGTAATTTACCACAACAACATTTGATCATTGGAGATGCTCTAACGTTACTTTACAAGGTTGATCTGGTTAGTGGTTCAAGGCGTTCGAGACGAGGTGGAGCCAGTTCATCTAGGGACGGACGCAGACTCACATTTACAAAGTAAAAAAATAATAATAATAATTATTCTCCTCCTATTCTCATATATTATATCATTCATAATTACATAAATTCGAATCTAATTAAATATATCTTTCTCAAATATCACCATTGTTTTCCTTTTGCATTGGATATTTATTTCAACGTTACCATTCGTGAATTTCTATTTATAATATTTCTTCACAAAATATAGAAATCATATTAGTTAAAAAATCAATGACAAACACAATCCCCTTATATATTAATTCAAAACGTGTTGAGCCTAAGTGGCAGACTCACATGCTTCGGGATCCTACATGGCAAAATTACATGTTTAGTTATTAGGTTTGGGTAGATTTTAATTTATTTCCAATCCAAAAATAATTAGATTCGGATTATCTATAAATATGTTGATTATTTATGGTCATATTACATGTATTAATTGTATTTTAATATCATTTTTTATTATAACCATTGAATTGTAAATATATTTTAAAAGTTAATAACTTTTGTAATTTTTATCAGTTTTACATATATAATATATCAAATTAATCATCTCTTAATGAACTTCGATTTAACATCCATATTGTATGTATAAAAAAATAAATTATATTTATCTTTATAACAATAATAAAACTATTTTTTAATATTAATTAGAATAATAAAAATATTTATCAATTAATATATTTATATTTCAAGTAGTTATATGATATAAATTATAAAAATTACTATAATATAACGCATGGAAGTCGCACAATTAACAAGTGTCATTCAAAAATATATAATAATATATATTTTTTCAAAAAGAGTAAATAAAATTTAAAATAATTTTTTCTCATTAATTTTAAAATTTAAAAATAATTTTTTGACAACCACCCGCGTAATACAAGGTGTTGTACTAGTTAAAAAATCAATGACAAACACAATTAGTAGCTAATTTAAAACTTATAACTATAAGAAGGTCTAAAATTCAATATGTATTATTGACACCCGAACTGACCATATTCAGTCACAGAAGACTTCACGGTCTCAAAGTCACTTAAAGACTACTAAAGACAATAATTCTAAACGGGTAAAGACAGAGGAGGCTGGAAAGAGTAAGTCGGAGCCTGGTTGGAACACAAAATCCAAGTCCCCCTAAGTGTTTCAAAGATTGGAGAAGGAGAAGGTCAAACTCGACCTAAGAGAAAAGCTTCTGAGGAACAGATCGACAAGGCACGACACCGCCGAAGTCATGACCCTAAAAAAGAAAATAGCTGAGCTCGAGGCTCATTAAAAAGAAGCCATAGAAAGTCCTCACCACCACCATTGGTAAAACAAAACATACTTGCCATTGTTTCAAACATTGACAAAATATGATAACTCTTAAAACCATAAAAATAATAAAAGACTTAGGCGGCCTTCTCAGCATCTTGCTCGGCGGCCTTATTGACATCTTCATCTGCGACCTTCTCAGCACAAGAGCCTTCTTCAGGGACACCCTCTTGGCCAACGGCCTTTTGAACACCCATGCCCTCTTTAGCTTTGGTCAGAGACGCTTGCTCGGTTTTGACAACCGGCTCGACCTTGTCATCAATCACATCATTAGGGTTGGCCCCTCATCGTCTGACATGATCACCATATGACTTTCGTTCGGGCCCGATCTCTCAACAAACACATCCATGGTTGAGCCGAAAGGACCGCCGCTCTTTATCTTGTCAAACTCGACCACCTCAAGGTCGGGATCTACGACCATCGACTCAATGTTGGTCAAACAATTGAGGCGGCGAGCCTTTAGGTACATGATCTCTCTTAGGTCATCAAGACTTTGAGTGACGCTTTCCATGCGTTGAATGAACCAATTCATGTTGAATGTCCTGCTCACCTCAATGTCATCGAAATATTCCATCGACAACCAAAACTCGTCGAAAGTAACCAAGATCCACTCGATCGATTTGGAACCCTAGATCATCGGTTCAGCAATCCAAATCTACAAGATGGACATCCCGTCGTTTGTTGTCGTTTCGTTTTGGCAGCATCTGGAATCATCCCGACTGCTGATATCATCTGATGTAGAGCGTGGTATATGAAAGGGAGAAGATGAGATAAAACTCACGTAATTTCAGTTAATTTGATTCAATAATAAGCCGATTGGCTTCAAGAAGATAAAAGACTATATATAAGAGTCCTAATTTCCTTATTCTACTTATCTTGCCTAACAAGCTAAGCTAAATCGTTATTTGATTACCAATAAAAATCAAATAGTTAATGAAATAAAATAAACATGATAAATAATATTAGAAACTAAATACGAAGCCGGTCATATTTTTCCAAGAATGCAATCACGGTCTCATCTCCATCACATAGTCACCACAACAACCTTCATCTACCTCCATTAGCACATATTCTCCATCATGGTCGGAGACACAATGCAGGTGTGGCCCCACGTATGACCGCTTATATAACACTTTTTCCTGTAGAAAAAACCTTAGGGCTCTTCTCGCAACTAGATCACCTCGAATGTCCTTACTTAATATTGGGTTCTGCAGCCAATTTACCAATGGCGACCCCTAATCCTCTCGTTCCTCAACTTCCATAACCTGCACATTACACTCGAGCCCATCTCAAGTAATGTTACTGACCTAGACATATAGTCTAGCGGAAGATACGATCTTCCACAAAAAGATTAGCTCTGTTGTTTTTTCCTCTTGGTATTTACACCAACTTTTAGGTCGTGAAACCCTTCAACAATGAATACACCTCATCCAGATACTTTGTAACATCCCGCCTTGACTAGCTTAGACTTTTGAAAATCAGAGTTAATTTTTCGCTTTTATTTTTGAAATATCGTGCGAGTTTATTTTCGAAATTATTTTCTAAATTGCGGGATGATACGAAAACGTTCTTAACTTTATCTTTCGGACATAAAATAAAACATGCATCCAATCGAGCCACTGTGGCGGTTGGAAAAATATACATGTAGTCCGCTTGATCGCACTAACTCAGCGGAAGCTTACAAATAAAATATACATATCACACTCATACATACAAATACATGCTTATAATTTTTGGGACATATTTGCGTATAAAAATGTCCACTGCTCATGACCATGCTTGCCACATCTGCTCACCCGGCACACTGCACTCCGTCACCTGAAATAAGAAAAACTGTGGGAGTGTGAGCACATCTGTATGCTCGTGGGAATCTGGAACTGAAATAATCTTAATAGCTGTAAACATAAACTTAATAACTGTAAACATAAACTTAATAGCAGCATATAAATAAACAAGTTGTACTGTAAACTTCACTTAAACTTTAACTTTTATTAAACTTTAACTTTGGTCAAAAGACCCTCGGCCCTCGGCCGCTCGTGTGCTCATCACCCGATAAAACTGAAGGCCCTTACTTCAGCCCTTTTTGTTGGGTTCGCTAGTACCGTACGGGCTTTACGCAGCGGAATTTAAAATTTTAAAATAAGTATTTATCGTATAAATACAACACCCGTACATACTAATTACGAATTAACTGATCGTCATCTTTAAAACATGCATCATATACAAATTTTGATTTGTTATAATAAAGTAAATACTAGTACAAAATATTTACCGAGTGTCTTGAACTCCTTCAACAAATATGTGGATTGTGGGAATCGGTTCCCGGTTGTAACTTCAACTGCTTGAGGTTACTCGCTTTAGGAATCCAAATGTCTTCCCTCTAATCGTATCCACCCTATGAAGCCCGGTTCCGACGACCTTCCTTCGCTAGTAGGAATGACTCGGTTTTCTCGTATAGGAATATAGATATAATTTGGGAATTACCAAGAACACTTTCTTGAAATATATGAAGAACACTTTCTTCTCTCTTTGATTTTCTCACAAAATCACTTAGCCTTATTTGCAAACATTTTGCATCTATTTATACTAAACATTTTAGCATAAAATAATCAATATTTAGTAATATTTAAATAAAATCTAATTTTATTTAAATACAATTACTAACTATTGACTTTAGATATAATAAACTATGTTTGGTTGTTCATAACCACCATTACCCACCATCTATTATATTCATAATTATTATTTTAATCTTTAGATCATATTTAAAGATAATATAATAATAAATCTTGAGAATCTATTCCAAGACTTTATTATTATATTCATTTCCCAATTTTCATCCATATAATAATAATCATATTATTATTATT